TCTCAGGGCAGCTTGGTCATGTCAGTCCCCTATCTGAATGTCTATGGATGCCACCTGAAGCTAAGCTGACTTCTCCCACTCCCACCAGGCACTGTTTCCACACAGGGTCTTTCCAGACCACATTCTGCAGATGTGCGGGTGTAGGGTTTAAGGCGAGTTGCTTAAAGTCTCCTACAATTCCGCAGTGCCTTTCTTGTTTTGTTTTTAATTAGAGATTAACATTTCTGACGATTTTCCTAAACAGAAGGGGGGGCTTTAGCCCAGCCTGAGCATTGCAGCCCTGTGCTTGTTGGAGGGTTTTAGCAACAAATGCCCAAGTCCTTGGAGCAATCAGAGATGGCCCACCTAGGGATTTATTATTATTATTATTATTATTATTATTATTATTATTATTATTGATGATGATGATGATGATGATGATGATGATGATGATGAGACCAGAGCCTACTATGCAGTCTAGGCTGGTCTAGAACTAGTAATCCTCCTGCCTCAGCTTCCCAAGTGCTGGGATTACAGGTATGTGTAATTACACCCAGCTCAAGCTGTTTCTTTCCTCCCTGACATCTGTATCTCCTTTGTACCCAAGGACCAACTGTCATCTCCCTGGTAAATCCATCAGTTTGGGATAAAAGTTAAACTACTTATGTGGGCTCTCTGCTCTCCCCTGCTTCCCAGGCTTCAGACACAATGGCTTTGTGTGGGTCCCTTAGACAAATGTGACATTCTCCTGTTTGAAGCCCTGGCACAGTGTCCCCTATGCCTGCAACACACGCCCAAGTGTCCTTCCCTATGCCTCTGACTGTCTAGGTCTTGGATTTAATGTAACTTCCTTGCGATGACCTTTCTTGATTCTCTTGAATGCTTTCCTTCTTAAGATAGCTCCTCCAGTGTGACAGTGAATCTTTTTGTCAACCTGACTCCATTTAGAATCACCCGGGAGACACACCTCGGGGTATGCCTGGGAGGGTTTTCCAGAGAGCTTTAACTGAGTAGGGCAGGTCCATGCAGCTGTGCCAAGCCACCCCATTCCATATGGGTAGCACCAGCACACAGACTGAGTTAAAAGAGAAAATGGAGGGAGCAGCAGCAGCTTTCACACTGCTCCACTTCTTGACCCCAGGTGACCAGCGCCTCATATCCCCACCTCCCATCGTGCCTTTTTGTCCAGATGGACTGTATCCCCTGAACCGTAAACCATATGAACCCTTCTTCTCTTAAGTTGCTTCTTGTCAGGCATTTGTCTCACGACAGAAGTAACTATTAACAGTGGCTTGCTTGGGGCCTCCTGGGTCTTACTTAACACAGCCTGCTGTTGTTGCAACTATCTATATGAAGACTGTTTTGGCCTGATGGAAAGCGTCCAGGAGTGCCGCTATCAGGGTAGCCGTGGGCAGAGTGATTAAACAATGGGTGAATTCTAAGTATGTAAGTAGTTTTCCTGGGGATAACTGTTGTGGGGGCCACTCCTTAAACATGAATGAGTGCTTCCCCTGGTGAGGCTCCTGCCTCTGGTGACACCTCAAATAATAGTACTGATTGATCAGTTAAAAGGACTCAGCTTCAGAGAAAGACTCTTCAGGCCTCGACTCACTATCCACTAAGAAACAAAGTCAGCAGCAACAGTCCTTAGAGGCACCTGTCAGGTAGGATGCATTTGCCTGCAAGGACAGAAGCTCTGATTGCTGATGGTTTAAATAACAGAGCAGGTCAGGGAGAAGGCTCATTCAGCAAAGGGCTGCCCTTTCCACCCCAACAGCTCTGACAGCACAGGGACACCCAGGGCTCATGTAGATGACCAGGTGTGGCTCAAGAGCACTGAAGGGAAGGACAGAAGACGGCGAATTCCTGAAGCCATCCCGTCTAGCCCCACCGTTATGCCTCAGGGTCAGTGAGAATCCTGTCTCAAAACATAAAGGTGTGGTTGAGGAAAGGCAGGGCATTGACCTTGGGCCTCCTCTGTATGCATGTACACACATGTGCAGTTGTGCCTGCATGCATGCATGCACATACCATGCACATATGGCAAACACACACACTTCAGCATGCATGAATTAAATAATAAAGACATTTAATGACCTCATGTAATAGTAATGAGCACTTTATTTATTTATCAATTGTTTATTTATTATTTACTTATTTATTTTTTTGAGACAGTCTCCGTATGTAACTCAGAATGGTCTCACATGTGTGATCCTCCTGCCTCAGTCTGGGGTTATGGGCCTGCACCACTACCCCTGGCAGTAGCGATCATGCACTGCTTACTACCACCATTGTGGTTCCTGCTTTCTGAATGCCCCCAATGCTCTTGGTTCTGCCTCCATCTCTGGGGGAGGTAGCACAGTCTCCATACTGCATGCCGGAGAGGTGTGGTGAGACCTGAGTGTCTGAGAATATTCTATTTATGGATCAAGTTGGCTCCACTGCTGTTGAGGACCACAATGGCGATAGTGATGATGACGGAGAGAAGGAGGAGAGGGAAAATGATGCCATGGGAACGGGATGGTGAGGTTGGAGACAATGGAGAAGGAGGAGGGGAAGAGAAGGAAGATACGGAAGAAGAAGACGCAAGTGATCATTATGTTGACAATGCAATTGATAAAGATGGCGATATTGATGACAGTGATGACAATGATGAAAACGACAAGGACTTAACAAGAGCTGACAGTTACCAGTCACCATATGCTAGGGACAGAAGCACATTTCTCACGTCTGGTGACGAGGAAACAATAGAGCAGGGAGAATAAGAGCGTTGCCCTCATCACCCACGGGTGTGTGTGTGTGTGTGTGTGTGTGTGTGTGTGTGTGTGTAACTGCCCCCCACCCCAGGCCAATCTTAATGTCCCATGGTCAACATTGTTTAGGGAGAGTCTGCAGTGGGTGCCCAAGAGCATTGCTTCACCAGCTTCTACATATCCTGAGACTTGATTCCCCAACACCAGACACTCAGAGTCTGGAGACTCGGGTGGCACTCAGTGTTGCTGGAGGTTCTTTCCTGCCTGGTCCCATAGCTGTCTAGCCCCAAATAAACATGCGGAGACATATATGAATTATGAAACTGTTGGCTGATGACTAGGGTTTCTTATTGGCTAGTTTTGTCTTAATTATTAACCCATTTCTATAAATCTATATATTTCCACCTGATCTTGGCTTACTGGAGAATGCCCAGACCTGTTAGTCCTTTGTGGTCTTCATGGCAACTGTTTTGTGGTCTTCCTCTGCCTACCTTTCCCAGAATTCTTCTAGACTCCTAGTCCCATCTATCTCCCTGCCTCTATTGGCCACAATGTTTTATTCATCAACAAATAAGAGAAACCTATATACAGAAAGACTGCTCCTATCAGCTCAGGAATCCATTTTCAAATCCTGATGGTTCTTGAGCCTTTCCAGGATGGCTATTTCATCTCTCTGATATTTTTCTTCTGGTTACCAGGAGACCACAGAGGATGCAGCCCAGCTGAGGATCGTGGGGTGATAGGAGGATAGTGGGGAGGGCTCTGACCCATTGAGCTCAGGCAAGGGGTGGAGAAAGGCTGGCATCAGAAAACTTTGCAAGAACATAAAGATTACACACAAGGACCAGCGCTGCTTCTCTCTACCTTCTGTCTTGGGGGTATTTTTGAGAATCGAAAACATTCCTCACTGTCTCTCTCTTTACAGTAAAGACACACTCAGTCCTGGGGTGAGTTTAGAAAGAAAAGTCTGCGCTGTAGCCTCATTGAATCTGTACTTATTTGTTGTGAGGAAACTGAGACCTGAGAGGGACAGTAGTGTGCCCATGGTCTTGAAACCAACTCACTCCACATCCACAGGAGGGCCAATTTTTGAGATCATTTCAGGCTTCTGGCTATGTGGACTTAAAAAAACAAATCACCAAATCAGTATGCTTACTGTGATTTTTGTTCATCTCTTTGAAAGATACACCGTGGTAGTTAAGTCCACTGTCAATATTTTTATGAACTCTGTGGAAAATATGATGTTAAAGGTTTTTGGTAATCACTTCATTAAGCCTGGCGTTTTCTAGTTCACCACAAATGTTAAATAAACCCTAATGAGTAGTACACCCTGACTGATGCTGTACACAGTCCAAAGAGTTAGTGCTTCAAAACACACTCATCCCCCTCTCCCAAAGCCCTGGGGGAATCGAGAAAGGTGATCTTAGCCTTGTACTGTGCACCAAGACCTTCAGACAAAGACTCATTAGCTCACAAATTAGTTACTGGCTCAAGCCAGAGTTTCCACCCACCAAGAAGAAGTAAGTGCACAGCATCAGGAATACAGTACAGTTAGCACCCTGCTAGTTGGCCTCCCATCAAAGCACACTTCCTTGGTAACTAGTACTCAGTGACCAATGGGACTGCAGGGCCTAACAATGGCCTGAGGTCTTCTTCTTTCATTTCTTTTGAGAATGTTTGTGCTAGGTGTTGAAATTCAATAATGATTGTGGTGAAGTTCCAGCCCTCAAGGAGTTCATTGTCTTTATGGGAAGAATTACCATACAAGAAAGTAGACTTGTACTGGGGGCAGTGTGCATGATGGGGACTTGTTTGCTGTGACTATCCTCTATGCGTGAGGGTTGGGAGCAAATAACCCTTTTTATTGTTGTTGCTTTTGAGACAGTCTCCTTAGCCCGGTCTCCTGACCTTGAACTATCCATGAACTTCTGATTCTTCTTCTTCCACCTCCTGAATTCTAGGGGTTTAGGAATGTGTGCCATGCCCAGCTCATGAGGTGCTAAGGATTGAACCCAGGGCTTTTTGCATGCTAGGTGAACTCTCTAGGAGTTACACCTCTCAGTCCTAGATCCTATTTTAAACCCAGGAAGGTTTTCATGTATGTTTACATGATGGAATAGACCGGTGGTTCTCAACCTTCCTAATGCTGTGACCCTTTAATACAGTTCTTCATGTTGTGGTGACCCCCCACCCATAAAATTATTTCATTGCTACTTCATGACTGTGATTCTGCTACTGTTATGAATTGTAATGTAAATATCTGATGTGCAGGGTATCTGATATGAAACTCCCCCAAAGGAGTCAAGACCCACAGGCTGAGAACCATTGGAATGGAACTCATAGAAAGAGAAAGATCTAGGTAAGTTATTGGCATGATTTTCCTAAGAAAGTAGAAAAAGATGGAGTCAGACAGGGACGTAAGACTTAAGGGAGGAGGGAGAATCTGCCTGTACATCGGGAAAGAGACAAAGATGGACAGAGATGCGTGGTTAGGGTGGAGAAAGAAACCAAGCGGGGAAAGGACCAGATGTGGCTGCTTGCATAGAATCAGTTGAATACAAATCCTCTGATTGTATAGGACCTGGTGAGAAGATGAAGGGCTTCATAAAAGGGGACACTGACAAAGTCCTCAAGCAAAGTGGCATGGTGCTGAATGGGTCATAGATGTAGACGTGTCCTCAGAGGTGATGGCAGTGTCAAAATGAGTGGGTGGAGGGGTTTACTCACAAACATTCAGCATTAAGTGTATAGAACAGGAAGTCTGACTCAACTGGGGTTTGATATAAGAGAGAGAACATAAGATACAAAAATGAAGAGGTTTTGGTAATATATGGCTGAATTGGTGAGTCGTGAGTATGTGCTGTCAATTTGACACTAACTTAAATCATCTGGGAAGAGGAAGCTCAGTTGAGAAAATTGCCCCATTGGATTGGTCTGTAGGCAAATCTGTGGGGGTATTTTTTTTTTTTTTTTAATTAATGATTGATGTGGAACGGCCCAGCCCACTATGGGCTGTGTCCCTCCTGGGCAAGTGGTCCCATGTTGTATAAGAAAGCAAACTGAGTGAATCATGGGAGTAAGCCAGTAAACACTGTTTCTCTCTGGTCTCTGCTTCTGTTCCTGCCTCCAGGCTTCTGCTTTGTGTTCCTATCCTGATTCCCTTCTCGGTAGATTATAAGATGTTAGCTGAAATAAATCCTTTGCTACCAATTTGTTATTGGTCATGGTGTTTATAACAGCAACAGAAAGTGAACTAGGATAGTGCATTGTAGGGGGAGCGGCTACAGGTGTGCCTGACCACGCCTGTGAGGGCGTGGTCAGGGTGATGTAGAGTGAGAGTTGGTCAGGTGGCTGGTTTCTGGTTTCGGTTTCACTTTCGGCTTGCTTTACAGACTGCTGCCCGCCAGCTGGCTAGGTCGCTCTGTAAGTAAGGCTTTTTCCGTATTAAAAATCCCTTGTATTTCTACCTGGCTCCGTATTGGTAATTTGCCGCCATAGTGCATGAAGAAGGGAGTGGAGGCAGAAGGCATGTGAAGAGAGAAAGGGGTGTGTGAAGTAGCCACCTGGTGTGCAGGTCTCAATAGGCAAAATGCAGATGCCTTGAGATGGGTGGAGAAGAGACAATGGAAGAACAGGTTCTTTGGTACAGAATGGGCCGTTATAGCTTTTGTTCCTGGCAACTGTGAGTGAGGTTATCTGGACCTGCCTGCTGGAAATAACCAAGAGCCCTACATGAGATCAAAAGGACATCTTGAGAGTGATGAGAGCTTAGAAAGTTTGAAGTAATCACCAGGCCAACCCTGCAGAGGAGAAGGGAAGCCATCTACGTCAGGGAACATAGGGTCTGCTTTTGCCCCAAGAGAACCTGAGTTCTGAGCTAATCTGAGTCTTTGTTTTGTCTCAAAAAATCACAGTCAAAGGCTAGTGTAGACTGTGGTGTCTAATTGGAGGCCCTCTCTATAAGCTGGGCTTCCTAAGGCTAATTCATCAAAGCCGAGTGAACTGAATTAAATCAGTTCTTCCTTGAGCTCAGACTTACACTATTTGGGTGGTCCATAGACACTCAGGCCCTGGTTTTGGATTAATGTGGCTTCTAAATTAAGGTTTCCAGACACATATCTTGTATAAATTATTTTTGAGTATAATGCCCAACACACAAAAGCAGCCAAATATGCATGAAGTGAACTACCGCCAGAAGCCAACAGATGTAGCTGACTTACAGATTCCCAACATGACTGTCATCAGACACTAACTCTGAAAGAATTGTGTTTACCATGTCTACAGAACTGAAAATCAGCCTAATAGTATCTACCAAGAACAAGAAGTTACCAAGAACGAGCTGAAAATCAACTAGAACTCATACTGCTGGAGAGCAGAGTAATCAAAGAGAAGGATGTCTGTTCTGGGGCTAAGGTAGAGAGAGCAGTTACTGGCATTGGCTTTATTCAGAGTGTAACCATGGACAGTACATGACTAAGGTGGCCTGGAGGAGGCATCCAGAGGAGGGGAAATGACCGAGGAACAGAAAGGGGAGGGGTGTGGGTGGACATCAAACATGTGGACTCTGAAGGTGTAACGTTCTAGGACTTTGGGTGGGAACACAGGTGTGCAGAGCCTCATTGGGTCCGAGGAAGTTAGTTCAGAAGGATGAAGAGTTAAGATGGCCAGTGAACCGCAGTGGAGGAAGGAATGCATGCGTGTATGTGGTGTATATGTTCATGTATGAGCACACGTGTGGAGACAGAGGCTGATGCTGAGTGCTCTCCTTTACTGCTCTCCACTTGAGTTTTGGAGACAGGGTTTCTCACTGAACCTGCAGTTGTGATCTTGGAGACTGGCTGGCCAGCAAGCTCCAGGGGTCTTCCTGTCCCCACTTCCCCAGTGTTTGGATTATGGGTATAGGCTACGTATACCTTTTTATGTCCCCAAACCGAGGCCCTTGTGCTCGTGTGGCAAGCACTCTGCTTCCTCAGCTATCTTTCTGGTGTCTAGAGTAGGAACTCTAGCAAGAGGGAAAAAGTGAGTTGGGGAAGGCATTGAGGAGTCAGAAGAATGGGTCCAGTTCTTTGACAAGATCCTTGAAGAATCTGGGATTTTAGGCATTTATGGGCCAATTGTTAAATCTCATAGATGCTGACAGAAGACTTGAGATTCCTGGGTCAGAGTCAAAGGGCAGTTAGGTACTGTCAGGAATAGCGAGTGAACCCCGGTTTTCTGATGCAAAGAGGGTGAGGTGACACCTGCATGCAAAGCAAGCAGGTCATATTTTAGGAGAGGAACCCTGACCTTAGGGTGAAGATTAACGGTTGCAGCATGCGCTCAAGGATGAATTAGTCTGTGATGGTGAGATTTCTTTATTCAAGAAAGCACCAGGGCAAGACGCAGGCCAGAGCGAGGTCACAGGAACCCAGCTAGCGAGGCCAGTAAGAAGGGTCTAGGGTCTCCACGTGCAGCCTTTAAGAAGCTTCCCTTTTGTCCCCCTGGCTTCCCTTCACCCCCCCCTTCTGGGCGAGTCCCAGGTCCACCTGGTACCTGTCCCAGGACTATTGGGCGGGGCTAGGGTGTCTCCCTACATTAGGGTCTCTGAATCTTTTGTTATGGAAGACAGTTAGACTGCCTTTTTCTCTGGAAGTGAGCATTATCTTTATTACACTGGTCAGTACAGAATTCATTCTACCTTTATGTGTAGTCATTACAAACACCTTTGCTGGCAAGATGCACTACAACATGAAGGTTCTGCCAATGCTTTCAAGCCCAGGACCCCCTATGTGGGGATGAAGGCTTCTTACTTGCCAGGATTCAGAGGAAGTGATAACTTCAGAGGTCAGTAGTGAGGAGGGGAAAGATACATCTCATGAGGAAGTTAAGAACTTAGGAGATTTATTCAGATGCAGTGGTGTACACCTGTAATGCTAGCTTTTGAGAGGCTGAGGCATGAGTTCAAGGCCAGCCTGGGTAACATAGTGAGAACAGCAAAAATGAAAAAAGAATGTAGGAATTACAGGTGGTGTGTGTGTGTGTGTGTGTGTGTGTGTGTGTGTGTGTGTGTATAATACAGGACCGTCTGGAATAAGGTTTTCTATTAAACAAGTGTGTTATGGTCTAACAATATAATTAAACATTGTGTTGTATATTTCAGTAAGGTAGAATGGAGGAGGGCTGGGAAGTGGGCCAGGAGTGTGGAAGCTGGAGGGTGCTCCACCTCTCCAAAGAGCTCCCTTTCTGGTTATCGTCTCCTCACCTGTAAAATAAGAAGGACAGAGAAACTGGCACAACACAGACAATGGGATGGAACAAAAGAGCTAGGTAGATGTTCACATGCAGCCACCTGATTTTTGACAAAAATGCCAAACACACACTCTCAGAAAGACAGTGTCTTCAATGAGTGGTTCCAGGAAAAGGTGAAATTCACATGTAGAAGAATGAAACCTTTATCTTCCACCCTGCATAAACCAACTCTAAATGTATCAAAGACCTCAATGTAAAACCTAAAATTCTGAAACTATTAGAAGGCAGATAACATGCTTCACCACATAGGCATAGGTAAGGACTTCCTAAATAGGACACTGGTTTCTCAGGCGACAAGGTCAGCAGCTGACAGATGGGACTTCATGAAACTAAAAAGCTTCTGTAAAGTAAAAGAAACATTGAATGAAGTAGAGGGGCAGCTTACAGGGCGGGAGAGCATGCTACACTCCTGACAGAGGATTAGTATCTAGATATACAAAGAACTCAAGAAACTAAACATCAAGAAACAAATAATGCAATTAAAAATGGGTCACAGCACAGAACAGAGATTTCTCAAGAGAAAAAAAAATACAAATAGGCATTAAACACTTAAAAAGGTGTACAACAACATGAGGCTGGAGAGATGGCCATCAAGGCTTAACTATTTGTGAATAACCATTAGTGAACACATGAGCAAGTATCTCTGTGGGAGGAGATGTGCCCAGGAGTGACGTAGCTGGTGGGTCCAGTTAATGGTGATTCTATTTCTTGCTCTTTTGGGAATCTTCACAATGACTTCCATAGTGGCTGTACCCAGTTTTCACTTTGGCCAACAGTGCATATGGGTTCCTTTTCCCCTCATCGACACCAGTCATTTGTAGTCATTTGACGTCTTGATTGTAGTCATTCTGGCGGGGATGAGATGAAATTTCAAAGTAGTTTTAATTTGTATTTCTCTGATGCCTAATGATGTTGAGTGTTTTTATTTTATGTGTATGGGTGTTCTGCCTGTATGTAGGCCTGGACACCACTTGTTTGCTTGGTGCCCACAGAGGCCAGAAGAAGACATTGAATCTCATGGGACTCCAGTTACAGATGACTGTGAGTTGCCATGTGGGTGCTAGAAATTGAACCTGGGACTTCTGAAGGGGAAACAAATGCTCTTAGCTTTCATAGTCCCAGAGGGACTATACAGATTGCTAGGGGAGAAAAAGGTATCAATGGTCTTACCCAGCTGTGAACTTTATGAACTACAAGACCAACCTTCTAGGAAAGATACAGTCCCCTTGCAGTAACGGCACTACTGTTATAGCAGTAACCACCTGCCAGCCCTCTGATTGGTGGTTTTCCTTATTTATGTCACCAGCCTTCTCTCTTACTGATAGACCTTAGACTCACCTCCTGAAATCAGGTGTAACAAAACCCTTCTTTAGGGGTCTGCTTCTAAGTGAGTCTAGCCCCAGACAGTATCTTCCCTCTACCATATGACAAGGCCCAAGGGAAGAATAGAGGAGAGCAGGATGAGAGATACCATATCAGAGGGAGCCATTATAGGTCCGAGGAGAGATCTGGCACTAGGGAGATTTCCAGAGATCTATAAGGATGACACGAACTGACAATCTAGGCAATGGTGGAGAGGATAGCCTAAATGCCCTTCCCCTAAAATGAGACTGAAGACTACTTTTTATGCCATCCTAGAGCCCTCATCCAGTGGCTGATGGAAGCAGAGTCAGACACCCACAGCTATACACTGAACTGAACTTTGAAACCTAGTTTCAGAGAGGGAGGAATGAAGATCAAAGGGGTCGGTACCAGCCTGGTGAAACCCACAGAATCAGCTGGCCCGAACAAGGGGGAGCACATAGACCCCAGACTCCTGTCTGGGAGGCCAGCATGGGACTGATCCAGACCCCTAAACATGGATGTCAATGAGGAGGCCTCTGCACTCTAGGAAGTCCTTGGTAGTGGATTAGTATTTTTTCCCTGGTGTAAGAAGGGACTTTGAGAGCCCATCCCACATGAAGAAATGCACTCTTGGCCTGGACACATGGGGGAGGGTTTAGGTCCGGCCCAGGATCATGTGGTGGACTTTGGGGAGCCACCGTCAAGGGCCCTACCCTGCCTGGGGAGTGGAGAGTGGATGGGGTGGGGGACAGGTGGGGGGTTGGGGGAGGGGAGGGAGAAGGGATTGACATGTGAAGCAAGCTTGTTCCTAATTTGAACTAATAAAAAAAATAAGAAAAAAAAGATAAGGCCCAATCCGTTGTGTGCCACATCTCAAGTCAGACCATTGCCAGTGCTGGGCCTGGTTAGGCCTTTGCCTTGGCCTTTTCTCTGTCCACCAAGCTGGACAGAGAACTTGCTCCTGCCTGATCCAGACTCACATCTATCTTCTGTTACCCTGCTAATTTAATATGTCATTGTATTTCTTAGTGAGAACTCTGTCTTCCCGGAAGACATCCTCCCACAACCTTCTCAGGGTCGGCATGTTCTACAGCTCTTAGCTTTGGGCCTGCAGCTGCTTGGGTCAGAGTTGGAGATCTCTTTTGTCCCTCTGTAAGACACTGTGCTCACTCCTGTTAGAGCCTTTTGCACACAGGCAGAAGATGTAACATCTTCTGGTCCTGTTCCAGTGGATGGGAACCTTGCATGGTCATCTTGACAGATAGCCTCCAGGGGATGGACCACATCCCTATTCTCTGTGCTTCCAGAAGGCACTTGCTCACTTGATGAAGGACACAAAGTGTCTACTGGTGGCTTAGCATCCCCTTGAACAAGAGAAGGCAGACCCAGCCTGTTCTAGGACGAGGAGGATTGAATAGAGTAGGAAGTTGGGCTGGAGGAAGAAACAGTGGAAAAATGTGCAAACCATAAAGCAGCAGGTAGCCCTGCAAACTATTAGCCAGAGGGGAGAGTCAGAACAAGTCCAGCCTGTCCTGGTGGCGTGAGGCTGCTTTTGGAGTTTGATTGAATACAGCGTTTTTAGTAAGTCCATATTTTACCTCTAATTTCTCCTCTTGTTCTTGTCCATTCTGGGGTCCTCTCAGATGGTGATGCTGACAGGCAGTGGCGGGGAGATATACTCTCTTGTCTTGCTGCCAGCCTGATCTCAGCCCTCTCTACCCTGACTAGGCTCACTTTCCTATGCTTGGAACACCTGGGCTCATGCCTCTTTCTATCCTGATACACATCAGTGCCATGGACCAGACTAGAAAGGCAACTTCTATTCTCCATTCCTCAACTCTACCTCAGGCAGAGGCCGGCTGCCTGGGAAAGGATGTGACCATAAGAGAGACAGCTATCTTCAGTGGGGACCTGGTGGAGGAGCTGTCACCACTTCAAGCCATTGTGTTACAGGTACCTACCTCCTTGACAAGGGTATGGGTGACACTCGACAATATACCGCTCCAGGTGCCCCGCCTCCCAGGAACATGAACCTTGTTTTCTCTGATCACTCATGCTTTGCTCACGTCAAAACACTTACAGCTCATGGTTGCAGGGTTAGTTAGGCATTGGGCTTGAAGTTCATTGCCAGTTCAGACACTGGGCTATGCTATGGGTGGGGATGTCTCTACAGGGAGGGTGGTAGGTGCTTGCTTGGTCTATTCAAGTGCCCCACAGTCTTACAGTGTGGGTTGAGCAGCCACCCAGTGAAGCCCCGAGCCATCATCTCATCCCCACAGACCCTAGCTCTTTCTTGGGGATAGACTCAATAAGGAGCTGGCTACTTCCCATCCTGCCTTTGGGGTATCCATTCTTCACCTCTAGCCCTGCAATTTCAAGGTTCTTTTTCTTTGGGGGATCTCCTGGATCTGGGGTTGGGGAGCTGGAACTGCTGAAGGGCCTGGTGGCACAGGACACAGGGGCTGAGGAGGTGGTGATGCCTGTGGCTTGGTTTTCCCTTTGCAGGGCAGCATGCAGCAGAGGTGCATTGCTATGGGAACACAGGGGGAGGGGAAAGGGCCCTTCCCAGAGTCTCCATCTCTGCCAGGGTGGTGCAGGGCTGGCTGCCATGTGGAATACATTTGGTCCTGAGGATGACGACTAGTGTGAGTGCAGTGTAGGTGGCTCAGGACTGTCCTCTTTAAAGGTGGTGTGTCCTCTGGAGAAGCTAAGAAAACAGGGTGCAGACATAAGCACCTGGGTGAAGGAGGCACAGCTTGATTTGCTCCCCACAGAGCTCAGGTGGAAGTCCTTGTCCTCGGAAATCCCAATTTCCTAGTAACACAGATCTCTGTAGCCCTCGGGTTCCTTTTCCTCCATGACACCCTGGCTGTCATGGGAAGCTTGGTCCTGTGCTTGCTTCCATGTCCTCTGAGGATCTGTCTCCCTGGAAGACTCCAATCACCTTGACTGCCCCTTCTCCCTTCCAGGGTCAGAGAACATAGTTTACCTCTGGGTCGTGACCCCACAAGCCTGTGGTACCCATTAGTGCCTTTGTTGTCTTGTCCCTGCATCCCACACTCTTCTTGCTCCCACTTTCCAGGCCCATCCTGGGCTGCCTCTCCAGCTGTGCTTGCCTTCTGCTGTGACTGTCAGACCAGCCTCTACTAGTCCTCACCAACCCTAGAGGGCAGCTCACCTGCTTTGCTTTAGTTTCAAGCATCTCCATCCTTTTGCCCAGCGACTGTTAACTCTTCACAGTGAAAATAATACAACCACAAAGACAAGAATGACCAGCTGAGGCTCAGAGAGGTCACACAGTCAGAGCTGAGGCTGGGTGGGAGCTGCCTGGCTCCGAAGGGTATCCCACATTAGCTGTGTTTCCTCCCTGGGTTGCTGGGACTCCATCACACCCTTGATGGGATTGGGGAGACAGAATCTCGGAGTCCCACGCAGAAGGCTTTGGTTATCACTGCTTCCTTGTTTTCTGACAACCTGCTGCACTTCCTGCTCCTATTCGGAAGCTCTCCCAGCCTTCTCTGACAGCTCCCTGCTTTATGTGAAACCTGGCCTAGGTCATTTTCCACTTCACACTGCAAAGAATAACAGCCAGGGGCTATGCATGGAGGAAAGACTCCTCACAGCCAAGTGGTCCTGCCATGCTGGGCAGACAGCAGAAGTCTACAGGGCACAGTGGCTGCAGGAGCTGGAAGAAATTAACTCCGGTGTAGATTTCCACTCATCCCTGGCTACTGCTTTCAGGGTGGAGTTCCTGAACTTCCTGGCAATCTGAATCCACTTCTGAGTCTTTAATCTCAGGCCCTGGTGGGATGACTCAAGCCTGGCTTCTCTGGAACAGGTATGCAGAAATTTGTGAGCCTCTATTACTCCTCTGGGGATATTCTTCTCCGCAGCCTGCCTCGTTGGATCCTAAGTATAACTTTCACTCTGCCACAAGTTGGTGTCTATGAGATGGAGTTTGGGGCACAAAATGTTTTATAGGTCAACATATGGGGAGGTTGAGGAGGAACAAGCCCCTGGGTGGCTGGGAGAGGTGGAGGTAGGGTATGCAGAGAAGACCCTGGTCTATTTGTGTTGTGAGTCCTTTAAAGCCTCACTCAAATTTGTTGAGCAAGCTGAGCAATCTCTGCTCATCAGACTGACCAAGATTAACCAAAATGGAGGGATTGGTATACCTCCACTGGTTTTCAAGGTAGACGAAGCCTCTCTTGGGAAGGGTGTGGTCTGAGGGAGGGCCAGCTCTCTTCAGCACAACAAGATCTGAAGGAACCCACAACTGGCAGCTGCTGATGGTACCTTCAGAGCCCAGGGCAGTGATGTATCCCTGAGGTATATCAGCTACCTCCCCTGACACCATGACACAGGTATGAAGCAGCCCATTTGCAATGAGAAAAGGGTTGCATTGGTCATGGTTTCCAGTGTTACAACCTAATCAGTTTGTCCCTTTGTTTTGGGTCTGTAGCAGTAGAAGCAGGTCACAGAGCAAAGCTGGCCTTCCTGGTTGGGAATGTGAAAGGGAGAAGGAGCTAGGGTTTTATGGTCCCCTTCAATGCCATGCTTAAGTCATCCACAACCCTTGAAGATTCCACTGCAGCAGTGGCAAGCTGAGGACCATGCCTTTAACACATGGGCCTCTGGGATGCACTGGATACAGAGGCATGCTGGGAGCCGTGTTATATCTGCAATGCACCTCTGTTTCACTGACAGGTCCTACAGAGCAAGACACTGCTCGAGAGCCAGAGCTAGTGAGCAGCAGGGGCTGGAACAGAACCCTGGCTGCTTGGAGTCCAATATCCCATCTTTCCTGCAGTGGGGAGGGATAGGAGAATGCTGAGCTGTACAACATCTGCTTTCACAGCTGCTCACCACTGTGTTCTCCGTGCAACTGGGGACAGAATGGCATCTGACAAGCAGACGCACTGGGAGCATGGGATAATGTGTAGATCTTGGGGTGAAGGTAATACTGGGGATGTTAGCATGGTCACTGAGGAGGTAGGTATGGATCTTTGAATCATGTCTGGGCTTTGATGTGAGTGGAGATGAAGGTTTTCTAGCATCGGGCTAGGAAATGTGAGGTTGCCTGCACCAAGGGCAGCGGGAATGATGCTTGTATCAGAAGACAGCCAGCGAACACTCAGAATATGTGGTTGTCATGATGGTGACCCACTCAGGGTAAGAGAACCACTCTTGGATTGAATGGGAAAGCAGGATTTGCAGACAGGGGCCATAATGTGCACCCAGGACGCATTCAGGCTGGTGGCCCATGGAGGAGGATGCATCCATGTGACTATGGCCTGTGGAGTTTCAAACTTACCCATCTACGTCTCTTAAAAGATCCCCTGTAGACGATGGGGTCATAGTGTTGCTAATGGACATCAACTGGAAATGCTCATGTGTGTTGTTGTTACATTCCTCAAATTCATTTGGCAAAGGAATACACTGTGATCCATCTCCTGGGAGTGCTGTTGGAGAGCACTGTTCCAGAAAATATGCTTGAACAGTGCTCTCCAACCAGCTTGTGGGTACTACACAGCACAGTGCCCTGTGCTTCTTCATGGATAAGCAAGGGTGATGCCAGGGTTGATATGATGGAGAAGTGAGGAGAGCGGTCATGGTTACAGGGCCACGTTCACGACAAGGACATTGGTGACCAGGGTGGTGAATGGTTGCTGGGGAGAGCAGATTTTTTAGTGGAGCTGTCACCAAATTGGGCAGAAAGCACCAGAAAAACAGTTGCCTAAGAGTCACCCATAATTCTGTAATTTATCCCTCATTCATGCTTACAAGTAATCCCATTAAACTCAGTTCTACCAAGCTGGGCCTGGGTGAGATTGCTTCTTTGGTCTCTTCTTGATGCCCTGTGCCTTAGTCAGTGTTATATTGCTGTGAAGAGACACTATGGCCATGGAAACTCTTATAAAGCAAAACATTTAATTGGAGCTGTCTTGTAGTTTGGAGGTTTGGTCCACTATCATCAAGGCAGGAAGCATAGTGGCATGTAGGCAGACATGGCACTGGAGAGGGAGTTGATCTGCAAGCAGCAGGAAGAGAATGAGACACATGGGGCCTGGCTTGAGCTTCTGAGACCTCAAAGCCCACCCCCAGTGACACACTTCCCCCAACAACACCACACCTACTCCAGCAAGGCCACACCTCCAAATAGTGCCAGTTCCTATTGAGCCTCTGGGGCCATTTTCATTCAAACCACCACAGCCTGTCTGGGGCAAACAGACAATTTGTTCATGCTGCCTGTGACAGTGACTATCAACTGACAGGATCTAGAATCACCTAGGAGACAAGCCACTGGACATGCCGATGAAAAATTATCTAGAATTGATTGGCATCTGGTCATGCCCATGAAGAATTATTTTGCTTAGGTTAATTTAGGTGGAAGACTCACTCTAAAAGTGGGCGGTGCCATTCCCTAGACTTGGACTCTGTTTGCAAAAGACAAAGCGAGCTGAACACCCATTTCTGCTTCCTGAGTACAGACACATTGCTGTGACTTCTCTGCCATGATGGACTGTACCCCTGAACTGTGAGCCAGAGTAAGCCCTTCCTCCATTAAGCTGTTTTTGTCAGGGTATTTTTTTTTATTACAGTAGCAAAAGTAACTAAGATGCCTCTCCGGGCAAAGGCACACAACACATAGCGTTTGCATATTAGTAACACAATGCTAATCTAGACGGGCTAATGAACCAGCTCGTAGCCAGAAGGTCAGCAGTGCAGACCAGGAGGCAGATAAAGAACTGATGATCTTCTGCCACAGGGCAGCCCATTGCAAGTATGTAGGACCCTTGCTGGAATCACATATGTGGTTTCCATAGCCATGGGATTCCTAGGCCAGGACCCAGTCAGAAGTGGGGCTGGAACATGGCCCCTCCTGTCTCAGTCTGGTCACACTGGAGAGGGTGGGGTGATAGAGGGCTGGGGAGCAGGAATGGTGAAAGTTGTTAAAGAAGGTTTTGGTGGCATTGGCAACAGTCATGGTGCCAACAGTGAAGGTGATAATGGTTGTTCATGGTGATGGTGAAGGCGAGGACAGCACTGATAGGGACCAAAGGTGATGGTGTTGGGATTGACAGGGCAATGTGGCAGTGGGTGACGGGCAGTGATGAAGATGCCTCAAATCATGACACTGGTACCAGTGATGCAGGATTCTTCAGCGCTGTTCACCAATATGGCCCTCAGATGACGTCCATAATGCCTTTCTTGGGAGCAGATGGGGCTTTGATGGCTGACAAGAACAGCTCCTGCTTCAGAAGTATTTGACTATCTGTGTGGAGAGGTAGCCTTAACCATTCTCCGTAAGTCAGCCCCACGCTTCGCTCCTTGTGCTTTTTCGGGTTCACAGGTAGTCAGCTCCATATGCCACTCCCATCGGGGACTTGAAGCCTGAACAAATAAATCACACTCATTATTCACATCGGCAGCGATGTCATCAGTGCATGGGAGTTCAGACCCAGACTGAGCCGCTTGGGGGACGTGGCCGCCCACCTCAATATTGTTCAAGGCAAGCATGCCATGATTCACCATGGAACTATGAGACTGAGGCTCTTGTATCAAAGTGACATAATTTAGAAGCACTCTTTTCCCCACTGGAGTGGGACCTCTGTTGGGGTGGCAGACATATGGCTTCCTTGGGAGTATGGGAGGGATCTGAAGAGGCAGGATTGAGCTTTTTCCTACCAGAAGATTTCTGTTGGGCTCCCAAGTCATAATTCACCTGGCCCAGCCACTGACAGGCTGCTGTTGTGGGCTTACCCCTCTCACACAGAGAACCTTTGCAACAGCACTCACCAGAGCCAGAGCCGGGGCCAGGGATCTTCCCAGGTCCTGGAAGCTGGTGAGGCAGGCTCTGGCTGCATCATGGTGAGTTTTAGTACTTCCCCTGATATTTTCTGGACAGGGCCATGCTTTCCTTTGGTGCTACTTTGACCAAATAACTGACAAACAATGGGAGGAAAAAAAAGGTTTGCTCTGCCTCTTAGTTTCAGAGAGGTTTTTGGTCTAACATGGCAGGGTGGTGTTGAGAGTGTGAGGTAGCAGCCTTGTACATAGTGAAGACCAGAAGGCAGGGAAAGCAGACCCCCCCCCCCAGTCCTATGACCTTCAAAGGTCTACCCTTGAGGCTTATTTCCTCCGTCCAGGCCTCTCCCCCTCAAGGCATCACAGCCTTCAGAATGGTCTCAGAAGCTGGGGACCCGGCCTTGAAAACACCTGTCTGAGGACGCATGTCAGACTCAAACCATCCCAGGCTGCATCCCCCACTCTCAGGTCTGCTATTTGTGGATTCCTGTGCCTGCTGGAGAGGAGCCTTGGTGGAAGCCTTGTGAATGTTGTGTGGATAAACTTTCTTGGCCACCCACAGCTTGCTTGGCACGTGTGAGAAATTATGACAGCTTCATTAAAGCCACGTCCCTGTGAGTCTTGATATATCAGGTAATGGGCAAGATGCCAGGAGGGAGGTTCTTTCTTTTTTCTAGATGGAATTATGAAGCTTATTTTCATCTCCCTTTCCTTCCCTTGCTTTCCTGTAGTTAGGAAAATAGACTCCAGGCTGCTGAGGAGATAACTTAGTAGTTAAGAGTATGTACCTGAGTTCAGTTCCCAACACCCTCATTGAGAAGCTTACAACTTCCTGTAACCCCATCTCCAGGGGCTCCAATGCCCTCTCCTGGCTCCCTCTGACACCTACACTTCACACACACACAACACCCACCCACCCACACACAACACACACACACACACACACGCACGCACGCACGCACGCACACTTAAAAATAAAATCTTGAAAGTTCTGGCAACTTCTGGAAAAAACCCAGGCTAGTAGCAGAATAAGCGTGATGCACATAGATATATCTTATGACCTTCAATGGTAGTCAGGGCTTTGGGGATCCTAGGTAGCTGTGGTATGAGGAAGAGAAGGGTCTAGTTTGGATGTTCTAGAAATTTGAGTCTTGGGGGGAAGCTCTGTGGTTTAGGGAAGTTCTAGAATTTATTGGAATAAAATATTCTGAGTTTGGCATGTAAATTTGTAATATAGGGAGAATCTACCTCTTTGGGGGCATTTTAGGTATTATTTATTTATTTATTTCTAGAAAGGGTTTCTCTGTGTAGCACTGGCTACACAGTCCTGGAACTCACTCTGTAAACTAAGTTGTCCTTGAGGTCAGAGATCCACCTGCCTCTGCCTCCCAGTTGTTGGGGTTAAAGGCCTATGACACCACCACCCAAGAATCTGATTGTGTCTGGAATGGCAGCTCTAAGGGAAAGTTACAATGGTGTCAATAATGTCATGGAGAATAGGTGACATGAGATACACAGCACTCTTGGTGTTTAAGTCTGGTCCTTTCGGGCAGAACAGGACTACCCCAAACAAGGTATGTTATGTTTTCCATAACAAGGACAGGGAATGCGGCAGGCCCCACAAGAGGAAAAAGCTTCCAGGACACGGGTTTGCAGGTAATGAACTTCATGAACAGGAAGCCAGATAGCTCTCAAACGATGAGAACCAGCAAGTGGACCACCCTCCCCAAACTGAAGCCACTATTTATGGAAATAAAAGTTTCCACTCAGGTATCCTTACCTTGACATGAAGCACGAGGCATTTTCAGGGCAGAAAGGTGAAAGAAACCAGACACAGAGTAACACCCGAGAAAGCAATCCCTCCTGTCCAGGAGACTGGAAGCATGGAACAGGTTCCTTTTCCCAGTTTTTAATAGCTCAAGATTTTGGTGACATCGGTGATGTACCTTGGACTCCCAGACCAAGGAAACCTCCACAACAGCTTTCTTGTAATGCCCCTGCCTCACCACCCTCAACATCTGCCTAAGCAGCATGTGCCATCACCTTTAACAACAAAGGCAGCTTTCTAAGAATCATCTCCAGTGTGTCTGTTGGGAGCTGAACCAGTTTCCCTCGGCTTAGCAAACCGGAGCTTGTGCCCCCCTTTATCCGACG